AGCCCCCCCCCTTACCCAGCATAACCGATAAGGCCTTCGTGGAGGAGTGCGTGAGCGTCCACAACCAGCTCCGCGCCCAGGTCCAGCCGCCCGCCAGCAACATGCGGTACATGGTACGGGTGGGCCTGGGGCACGAGGGTGGCTCTGGAGCCCCGCTGGCGCAGGGGTCTCTTGCTGGTCCCTGGGCGAGCCAACCAGGGTGGCATCGCCGCTTGGTGTTCAAATATCATCATACTTACTTGACAGGAAATGCTGTAGTGAGTTGAGTGAGATGCAGACAGGTAAGTTTGGAGACAACAGTGGAACAGGATGAGGATTCAGTAACGTGGGCCAGCTGAAGATGTTCACATTCCACCCAAAGGGATTTCTCCTTAGGAAAAATCAATGGTCTGGCAGCAGGGCTGATCCAGAAGAGTTAGGCACTCCATCAAAAGCAAAGACGCAAATGGGAATACCTGGGCTCAAGAGGACTTCTGGTGCAAGGAAGAATCTGCTTGTCATAACCAAAACAAACCACTCAAAAATTTTTGACCCCTTACCAAAAAAGAAAGCCAAAAAGATGTTGAAAAAGTAGTTGTTTAATGTTTAGTCCACTTTGTAGCGCAAGAGGAAAGTGTTGTGAGCAATGAGCAGCTAGATGATGAGTAAGTACCCTGTGGAAGGCTTGGGAGCATGCACGTACTTGGATATTGGTGGCAAAGAATGCTGTTTGGGTAGATTTGAAGCCAGAATGGCAGATAAGGGGGGGTATAACCTTGGGAGTGAAGAAGCTTATGAAAGACACTGCACCAAATTTTAGCAGTCAGGAATAGGAAGATGAGGAAAAATTATTAATAAAGGCACACACATAGAAGTATGGAACAGTATTGTCAGCTAGTGGAGTTCCTGTGAGATCCACGTAGAATATAAGAGTGAACCAAAAGGTCCAAACACCGATAAACCTTGGTAATGAAGCACATGATACTTTACATAAGACATAAAACCAGGTATTTTACTATAGAAGAAACTTGCTGAGAAACAATCATGAGTGAAAGACAAATACCAAAGGTCATTCATGTTCAGGTATTGGAAGTTGTGTTAATGGTGACAGACTGCAAAGAAGCAAGAGGTAGAAGAATGAGCAGCTGACCAAGCATTGGTGTGTTTATCTCATGGAACTGTAAAATACTCAAATGTGTACTTTACAAAATCATAGAATTTTTCTGTTTGGAAAAGGCCTTCAAGATCATCAAGTCCAACCATTAAAAGCTTTACTGTAGAAAGAGTTAAGATTTGTTTCCAGAGGCTCTCTTAAAAAGACTTAAAATGTGTATACATCTGAATCTACTGTAGCAGTACGTTTTTATTTTGAATTATTTTTTATGTACCTAACAGAAATCCTTAATGACCTGTTCAACAAAAATTTTTGGAAGTTTCATGTTTAATGTAATTCATATCTGAAGATAAAAGTGCATTTCAAATATCTTTTCCGTTGCTAGCAAGTGCTTTTACAAAGTTAATTTTCAACAGTAAAGGAAGATAAAATCTGTCTAATGAAATCGGTTCATATTTCTGTGCTGCAACAGGTAAAGTCAGTGATAATGAAACACAGGTATTTGCCTAAGTAAGTGGAAGCATTTATTTTGGAAACTCCAGTATATGATATCTCTCTGTACTTTATTGCCTGACTGATTCTATCTGGTTAAGATTTGATTGTAATCTAGCATTGCACAACTGTGCCATCTTTCATGTTTTGCAGACCTGGGATGCAGCTTTGTCAAGGACTGCAAAGGCATGGGCAAATAAATGCATTTTTAAGCATAACATATACCTAAGAGAGAAACACCAGTGCCATCCTAATTTCACATCTATTGGAGAGAATATTTGGGTTGGAAGTCGTCCGGCATTCACTGTTGCTAATGCCATTAAAGCGTGGTATAAGCAGGTCAAAGACTATACTTTTGCAGTGCCGAAATGTACTAAGACTTGCGGTCATTACCTTCAGGTAAGAGTTACCTTTGGTAAAATGTTTTGTATAGTGCCTAGCAGATCACAAAATTACAGAGTGGTAGGGGTTGGAAGGGGCCTCTGGAGATCCTTAGTCCAACCTCTCTACCAATGCATGTTCACCTAAAGCAGGTTACACAGGAATGTGTCCAGTTTTGAAAGTCACCAGGGAGGGAGACTCCACAACCTCTCTGGGCAGTCTGTTCCAGGGCTCCATCACTCTCACAGGAAAGAAGTTTCTCCTCACGTTGAAGTGGAACTTCCTGTGTTCCAGTTTGTGTTCATTGCCCCTTGTCCCATCATTAGGCACCACTGAGTAGTCTCTGGCTCCATCCTCTTGACCCCCCACTTCAATATTTATGTATTTCAGTATTTATGTAACCATTGGTAAGATCCCCTCTCAGCCTTCTCTTCTCCAAGCTAAACAGACCTGGAGTTTCTCATCCTTCCTTCATGAGAGAGATGTTCATCATCATCATCATCTTTGTAGCCCTCTGTTCTGTACTCTCTCCAGACTCCAGACGCATCAGTAGGGACTGTAAATAATACAGAGTTGTATATATGGTTTGTAGTGACTGACAGCTTACTGTCTTTTGTAATCTCAAGCAATGGCTGTACTGACAGCTACCCCTGCACTGGTTTACCTCTTTGTCTTGTATAATAATCCAAACAATTCTGCTGAGAAAGTAAAGTCTTTCTTTGAACACTTCGATATTTTAAATGGATTTCTTCATCTCCGTGTTTAAAAAAATAAGCTTTGCAGTAGAATTGATCTGTAACCAAATATATATATTTCACTGCTCTAAAACAAGATAATTGTAATGTCTATTCAGACCTTACCTAGTAAAAGTGACTCTAATTTCTTATCTCGGTGTTCAAAGGTGCTTTCTGTGCAAATTACAGATGAAAATACTGTGCAGTATATTTATGGTGAAACTGCTACCGGACACAATTGTAGCTGTGAGATTCTTTCTGAGTGAACTTTGGATTGTGAAATTAAACTATTCCAAGTTACCGCTTATTTCACCTTCAAGTTATTTCAAGTTACAAGTTATTTCAAGTTCTGTCTGGCACAATTAATTATAAAAGGTTATGTATCAAGACACTATCTAGCATTTCAAAATTTGCTGTTCAACCTTGTCTGTGTAGCATGCTGGAGATTTTTGGATATTTCCCTTGGAAGTGATGTTCACTTCTAAGCTTTTTTTCACCTCATTAGGATTGTTTGCTTTTTTCTTGTTACACATAGTTAAGTCATGTCAAAATGTTCCTGCGTTTCAGGCAGGATTACAAAGAAAACTAATACTGAAGTATATGGGTTACATGAACGTGTAAAATTATATATTTCTTCAAAACTGATAAACAAAGTCCCTGCATGATCCAGGGGCCATCATGGTCTTGAAGGCTGAGACACAAAATTGAAAACAGGTAGAATTTACAGATCATACATAGGATGTGTGGACCTGCTAAGAGAACCATGACACTACAAAAAGTATGTGAAACTGTTACAGAAAGGCCCCTGAAATGCTTAGTCCTTAGTGAAAGATTTGGGTGACACCACATTAAATACTGAGATTCTTTTATAAGAAAGGTTATGTCTACTGAACATAATGTTTCTTGCAGTTGCAACCAAAGAGATGGAACTTCTGGGGATGTTCAAATCAGTTAGTCTGAGGCCTGTACTTGTCATACTGGGTAGATACTGAATGTCTTTAAGTTTCCCAGATCTGGAATGCATGATCATTCAGACATTCTAGGTTTATAGTTAAAGCATTTTTAACTGAATTCAGAACAGTTTGGTTGTATGCAGAAAGTATTGGAAGAATCTGCAAGAAAAAACAGAGGATATTAAAAATGTGAGGGATTGTAAACCATCTTCCCTTAAGTATGGCAGATAACACTGGTTACTCTGAAAATGTGCAGTGATAAACTTTCAGATTTAAGTTTACAGCAGTAATCAGCCAGACCACTTCCAGCACACAGGAGAAGCCCTTCTGGCAGTCCTCAGTTATGAATGTTGAAATTAATTGAAGGAGCTGTTCAGTAATTGCCACAATTTTCTTTTTGTTCCTTGGAATTTACCCCATAATCATAAAGCCAATGACTCTTACTGAAATTGTTCTATAGATCATTCTGGAAACTTGCAGCATAGGTCACTTTATCTTGAGGGTTGCATAATTAGAAGTTACTCTCAAAAAGCTCACTTACCAGCAATTTTATTAAATGAATAAACAGATAAGATGTTGCAAAATACATAGAATTTGTAGGATCCCTGAAAATAGTGGAGACTTTCTAGATACTAGATTAGGTAACCATTGAGTGTAGTTTTTAATTTATTTTAAAACTGGGTTTTTTAGGTTGTTTGGGACTACTCTTACAAAATTGGCTGTGCTGTTACTCTTTGTAAGAAAGTTGCAGGAATACGAAATGCAGCAAATTTTATTTGCAACTATTCACCCAGGTAAGTTTCTGGTTTAAATGATAAAAAGATGAAAGAAATTTTAATTACATTTAGCTGTAAATAAATTGGGTTCTTTATTTAGTGGTGGTCTTGTAAATGTTGTAAGAGAAAACAGTGGTTGTCTAATTCAGTTGAATGAACCATGAGCATTAGAATGTGTGCTTGCTTAGTGTCTTAATCTGTTAAATCTACTGATAAATCCTGTTCTGTGCCAATCTTAAACAAATTCCAAACTTGCCTCATGCTCCAGTTCATTGATTTCTTTTTCATATGAAACAGGAGGAATGAGAAAGTTGCTGCAGGCAAGTGCTGTCAGAGCTGGAATTACATCTTGCAGTTTTGTATATTTTTTTAATGCATTTTAGCTTTTTACATGGTATTTCTTATTTTTTCCTTGTTTAAATCTCTAGAAATTATAGAAGTAATAGCAAGCTGTTAGATCGCTTGCTTTTCCTTTCTGTATAACTGAGTAAAATGAAATTACATTATTATTTCTTGCCTATTTAATAGCTGTGATTATACCAAATGTTCTTTAAGCATTAGAAAACAGTAAATGATCAGTGCAAGAAAAAGCTAACTGTATGGTGTGATTTTACATTTAAATTGATATTCTGAAAAAAAAAAACATAGGCCCTAGCTGTGCTATTCCTAAAACAGGAGGAGTCTGAAAAGACAGAAAAAGGCAGATAGTTTTAAAACAATGTCTGTCTCATAATAGTGCACAGTCTATAATCAAGCACATGCATATGCCATGCTTGTAATTTTTAAAACATACATAGCTTGTGAGCTTGCATGACAAACTTTTTCTTTTTATTCTAGCAAACCTGGGCCACTATTGAGGAGTTCTATTAGCCTGAACTAAAAATTTCATTGAGCTCTGGCCATCTCTCTCTCTGTACCCCTATCCTGGACTTGTACTTGAACTGTTCTTTTTGAAAGTTGCTAGGGTATGGAACTTTGTTGCTCTCTTTTTTCAACAAGAACTAAAATACTTCCAGTTACCAATTCACAATAATGACTAATTAACATCAACAGTGGTCTGTAAAGCCATGTCACTTGAGTCTTTCCTAATCTGTAACAACATTCCATGTTGCTTTGCTGTGCTGTTCTGCACAAGCTGGAGAACGGATTGCCAAGCTGAACAGCTGTCTAAGATGAGATCTAACATGTCCACTGCTTGATACCAAAAGAGCTGATCTCTACGTCACCACAGAAACAAGTGGAGTCAGAGCAGACAGACCATCTTCTAACAGCCTCTTTCCTTCCTAAACTGTCTGGAAAAATACATAAACCTTAGCCTTGCCACCAGTCATCACCACACTCCAGATACTGGAACAACCATTTCCAACTTGACCTTCATGACTCCATCTTGAGGTTTGAACCCTTAGTGCTCAGTTACTCTGCTAGATAGCAGTTTATTTTCAGAGTTGAGGCACCAATTTAAGGACCACCTTGCCAAAATTATTCAGTGTAGCAGTTTTACAGTGTGGTCCTTCTGTAGAACTTTTCTGAAAGTCTGCTGCTGGGACCATCATGTTTGAGATGCCCAGAGCATCCTTCCCTCTGTATAAAGTGTGCACTACTTTGGAATGTGCCCTCTCCTATGATCATTCTCACACGCAAAGCTAGCTGCCACATCCTTCCTACCAGTCTCTCTTCATCATGCTGTTCTCATTTATTCTACCTACCTTCCTTTTGGTAGGTAAATCTTCATATGTTACATCCAAGAAACAAAATAGTTTCTAAGAAGAGTCTCAGGACGGTCCTTAGTATTCTGTTTGAAGGGTAGCAGAGTCTTAGAAATGCCCTTGAAAGGGCCTTGTAGGATGTCATGTAGCTTACCAGATACTCTTCTCAGCCATTCTAGAGAGTTTTCCTGACTAGTTATTTTCTTTTACCTAGTTGTTTTCCCTTCATTTTCCGTTTTAGCTCTTCAGTTTCTACACCACAGGCAAAAAGTCCAAACTAGAAAAACTGAATGCTTCCTCAAATCTCACTCTCATTTCTGATAATCATGGCAAGGGGCAAGAAGTGCAAACAACATGGTGAATCCTGGAGGGACGACTAGACAGATACTGTGGTGATGTATCACTTTCCAAGATACCGTATCAGTGGCAATTATCAGATTAGTAAGTGTTGTATTCATTATGTGAGTACAGGGTGCTGTGACATTTACATGATGTCATAAAACTCCTGACGTCTGACGGCTTCTGGAGTCTCCACAGCACTGCTGGATGAAGGCAAGCTGCCTATCTGAACTGGGTTCAGTGGTTCCTGTGAGTCGCTGGTGTATCAGGCCTAGTGCTAGCATTGCTTTTTAGTTACCTTACAGATTTTGTACTCACCAGCCCCATGGAGACATACCAGACAACTTCCATTTGAGACTTTCAGCTTGTTCCAAAACTAATCAATATCCACATATTTATGATGCTCAAGTCATTCTGAAATCACATTGTTTCTATTCTATACTATGAAGGAAGTCTGCTTTGAGACACAAAAACACTTTCTTAGACACTAGCACCCTATTTCAAACCCTTTTCTAATTTTCTTTTCATTTTTAAAGTTTGTTTATTTAATTTGTCTTTCAAAGGAGGAGACAGTGATGAGTCATACATTGACTTCTGGGGAAGCTAGTTCAATGCATGCAAATCAGATACCCCAGCTGAAAGTCTTCTCAACAGAAGTGGAAAAACTTCCTCCTTGTCCCAACTTCACTCGATGCCTCTCAGTTCTTCTTGTTAGACAAATGTATAACCCTTGATACTTTTATGCTTTTGGGAATACAGATAACACCACCTTTTTGTTATTGTAACTTTCCATGAATATGGCCTTCCAGGTCACCACCACCTCTTTAGAAAGATAGGTGACATCCAGTCCCCAACAGGCAGCTGTATCTGCCATTTTTAGGGCTCAGTTTCTCCTGAGGAAGCTGTGGAAGGTACAGTGTTAAAGGACCTCCACAGCTGGTCAATAGAGTAGTAAATCACCGTAGGTAAATATGAAAAGGAGGTCACCTATAGAACCATGGAAAATGGCAGCTTAATACCCACTAGCTGTCAGAAGCAAATGAAAAAGTAGTAATGATTAATTAAGTGATTACTTTTTAAGAGTAAGACATAAGACATAATAATTTTGCTTTTCACAGAGACAGCCTTTTTGTTTCTGTGGCCTAAACCAGCAAGACAAGTGAAATTAAAGACCCTATGATAGCTCCCCTGTATTTCATTCCATGGTCTTCAGAAGCCACCAGAAGTTCCTTGTGAGAGTGACTTTTTTTCTCCCTCCAGAAGTTAATTTGTGCCTTCTTTTCCCATTCCTTATGCCTTCTCAATGAGGCATCCCTCTACAACCTAGATGTTAACCAGTCTGTAGATAGATAGACAGATTTACTTACTTGTAATAACAAGATAAGGTTTCTCAGAGAAAAGGGAAAGCCTTTCATCTCTCTTGGTCTGTGGTTGAGGGTTGTATCAGTCTTCTCAAATTGGATTGCAGAGCAGATTATGAACTATATGAAATAACAGTGTGATTATCAGTTGTGGTTGAAGCCTTTGATACCAAGAAAGGCTTGCTGAATTACAGCTCAGAGAACATCTGTAGCTTTTTTGTGCTTCATTCCTGCAATTGAAACATGCACAGTCACCAAGCAGGTCACACCCTTACGAGGCACTGTGCTCGTTCCAGAGCTTCTGGAAACGATGCTTTGTATTTCGGTCTGTCTTATTCTGGATTCTGAAACTCTTGAAGGTAACCATGTGGGCTACTGTTTGGAATCACCCATGCTGTGAATATATATGGACAGTCACACAAAAGTTATATTATTTAACCTGTAACTTTTTTTTTTTTTTGAGATATTTATATATTCAAGCAACTCTCTTTCCTGCTTTCCTTTGACAAGTTCAAAACTTATGTTCAGTTCTTGGGATCAGAAGATACCTGTTCAAATTTATTCCTGCCTGGACTGCATGCCAGCACGATGTGGGTGCAATATGCTGCTCAGATAAAACTCATGCTGACTGTGTACCTATGGGCTATGTATATAAAAGACATTTTAAAGAAGAATAATAGCAAGTAAGTTACAGGATTTAACCTCCTGCAGTGTTGTTCCCCCTTCATCTTGTACAGCAATGTTACACCAACCAGTACATGTGTACGTCTGGTGGGTGACTCTTGCTTATACACAGAGATGCTATAGGGTGTAAGGACAGACTTAGAAGCCTCAAAAAATTATCACAGGTCTTGGTGCAAACTATCTCTTTTGAGGAGTGCCCACTAAGGAGGTGAGTAGAGTAACAAACCTAACTATAGTAACCCATGGTCCTTTGAGGGGACTAAATCACAGAATGATAAAATCGTTAAGGTTGGAAAAGACCTCGAAGATCATCAAGTCCAACCATCAACCAAACACTACCATGACCACTAAACCATGTCCTGAAGTATCATGTCCATATGTTTTTTGAACACCTCCAGGGATGGTGACTCCACCACCTCCCTGAGCAACCTGTTCCAATGGTTCACCACTCTTTCAGTAAAGAAATTCTTTCTGATATCCAATCTAAACCTCTCCTGGTGCAAATTTAGCTCATCTCCTCTCATCCTATTGGTAGTTACTTGGGAGAAGAGACCAACACCCACCTCCCTCCAACCTCCTTTCAGGTGGCTGTAGAGAGAGAGATCTGCCCCTGTGCTACCAGGGTCAGGCTATGGCACGCAGCGTTGAGTCATCACTTTGCCTGGAGGCAGCCGAGACAGTGAGCCTTGTTTCCCCTTTGTTACCCAGCAGTCCTGCCTGGGAGCCTGGTGGTGGAACCTGCAGTATCACTTTCAGCAGTCCTATGTAGAAGGAGCCTGTCTGAGAATGTGCAGTGTTAGGTGCTGCAGGCTGATCTTTATACTTAAATGCTTCGGCTCCTCTTGGGTGAGGTACCTGAGCGTGTGAGGATCCCAGTCTTTCACTAAGGCTTCATACATCTAGACATCCACATTTTGTGAAATGAAGGTCTTGTTTCTCAAGCTTATAATTCAACAGTAAGTAGCTGACAAGATCTCTTTGTTTGATAAACAAAAAGAAACAGTTTGGTTTAAGCTATTTGGAGTATGTCAGGTTTAACATTTTCTGCTCTAAAATCCTCATTTTTCCTGTTTAAACCAAGCTCCATGCAGAACGTTGTGGTTTAGTAGTTCATATACCAGTGTAAAAATTTAATTAAAAGCAGAGGTGTTTTCCCATGAGAGAAACAGTAGCTTTTTAAGATTCTTTTCTTTCACAGGGACAGAACAATGAAAATTAAAAGAAGGAAAATCACTCTGATATTTTATGAATTGTCACCAATTTATTACATTTTCAGTGTATTTACTTGAAAAAATGATTTAAGATATTTAACAAATCATTTAAAATTATGTATGAAACTTCTTTTTCATTTGTAGCGGTGGTTATATAAGAAGACCATATATAGAAGGAAGATCATGCAGTAATTGTGCAAAAGGGGACACCTGTGAAAATAAACTGTGTAGTAAGTGAAAGCAAACGTAAAACACAGTATGTGAAAGGAAATAGAACCACTTACTTGATAAAGAGTGTTGCAAGCTTTGTTCTACTCCTTGATGGTGCTCACTTGGGTCCAATTCACAAGTGATTTAAAACTATTCTCTTAAGGCCATGTACATTCAGGAAGCAAATAGATCATGTTTTACTGAGTCTGGGCTTCAGTGATCTTTATGAAGCCTTTGAGTATAGACAGGTATAATTCATGATTGTAGTTAAATGTATTATTGTTTCTATTGTATTCTGCTACTCAGCAGACTTCATTAGCATACCAAAGACATGAGCATCTAGCTACATGCTTTTTGAAGTAGCATTTT